GGGGGGGGAACACATTGTAAACCTTTGTGATTAACAGCTTCTATTTATATAGCATAGTTAGTAAACGATAAACAGGAAAGTCACATGGATTTCCTAAGGAAATTCGAAATGAGTAATCCAAGATGTAGGTCACAGTTTGTGAACACAACACATTGTTTATTTCAAGAGAAAGGAAGAAGCGGGACGCTGTAAAAAAGCCACGTCAACATGATTGGTTGTATTACAAAAGAGCGAGATAAAATTTTTAATGCGAGAAAAATTGTACTGCGTTGTTGTTTTTAGCATGAGGAAGAAAACACTATACCAAGAACACTTAGGCCTATAAATTAAGAGCTGGTCTACAATGCAGTAGCGCTAAAAAAACCAACTAAATTCGCAATCCTGCACTGACACTCAGTGATATTAAATTCGACGTTTTATAAAAGTATATAAGACAATTGTAACACGACGCCCCCCCCAAAAAAACACAAAAACCCCCACAAAAAACAAACAAAACAACTAGATTTCTACAACCAAACAAAACAAAAACAAAACAACAACAAAAAGCAAAACAAAGTAGCAACAAATAGATAATATAAATAGGTAAATAAATATTTAAGAATATTTAAAGACATTTTATAAATTTGAAAAAGGTATAAAACATTGTTTTATGCCTCCCACTGATACACATGCTATCAATTAGGTGAGAGGTTACTTGGAACCTGCCTGTCAGGGCAAACCCAAACTGAATGGGACCAACAAGGCCGGAATAAAGACATGATTTTTAAAAATATATTTTTAAAAATAATATACTCAACAACAAAGTCTGTCTGTCTGTCTGTCTGTCTGTCTGTCTGTCTGTCTGTCTGTCTGTCTGTCTGTCTAAAATGTATCACGCTAAAAAGGAGTCACACCAAGCAAATGAGAGGCACAGTTTACTTACAACGATTTAGCTTATGTTGTTGTTGTCGTTACTGTTATTGTTGTTGTTATTGTTGTTGTTGCCGTTGTAGTTGTTTTCTGTTGCTGACATCGTCTTTCTGTTGTTTTGTTTCTTACTACGATGGATATCAATGTAGTACACCATACAGAAATTGAATTGCAATTTAATCACACTTTAAGGCTGTGCTTACATTGTAATTTTGATTCTAATCCCATGATTCTGTACCCACAGGCATCCGTTGTGACAGCCAAGGGAGATACATCGTCTCTGATGAGAAAGCCAATGGCGTATTCGTTTTCAACAAAAAAGGCAAATACATAACAAAACTGTCTCTTGGAGACATTTCATCCATACATTCGACGAAACTTCCCTCGTCCTCCTTCCCTCCAACTGCTGGACCTTTGAAATCTTTCCCGCATTTCAACCAACCAAGATACATCTGCATCACTCATTCTGGAAACTACGTCATAGCGGATTCAGCCAATCACTGCGTGAGAATTTTTGACTCAGCCGGAAGTTATACTGGCCAGTTTGGTGGATATGGCCGCCGAGACGGACAGATGAAGTTCCCATACGGTGTGGCGAGTGATCAAGCGGGGAACATTTACGTTGCGGATCATTATAATAATCGAGTATCGCTCTTCACGGATAAGGGTGTTTTCATTGAGCACCTGTTGACCTCAGAAAAAGATGGCATCACGAGGCCGAAAGGTTTAGCTGTAATGAACTCTTTGCTTTACTTGACGTATGGGGATTTGAGATCCAACAAAATCTCGGTGTACAGTCTGTCTAAAATACATGAGAGACAAATTGTGAATAATCGTGTTTAGCTCAAAACGTCTTCTCACATATATCTGAAGAAAAGGAAAGAAACGACAGATTCCATACATTTATAATAATTGCTGAACTCAACTTAAGAAGGCTGTTATGTAAATACTTTTAGTGAAGAAGCCCACGATGGAAAAACAATCTAAGTTAGATTGTCAAGTGTAGAAAAATAAATTTTTGACGCTCAAAACACATTGAAAATATACTTTGATCATATTTCTATTGCATGCTCGTTCAAAGAATGTCTCTAATTTGGGATTGAGCATGCTGTTCACTTCCACGGGTTTTGAGAGTGAACGATGAAAACAGCACCTTTTTAAAGACACATTTTAGATAACTTAGAGTCTGTGACTTCGTTTCTGTTCCCATTGTTGTCTTCACAACGTAAACAGGATATGCTTCAACACAATACAAACAAACTAGAACTTATTCAAGTAAACAGACACCATTGCTGGAGTGCAGAGCTGGGTTTCGAGTCAACGTTTTCCGCCTCAGGACACATCCCAGTGACCACAAACTACTGACTGGTGTCTTCCTCGGAGCGACGTGAGAGAAATCTGTATCGCTTGAAATAACGAAACCCTGGTTGTTCTAAGGCCTTTCTAATGTGTTTTGTGCCCCTTAATTTCTTTTTTTTTTCTTTGTTTAGTTTCCCAAGCCATTTGAAGGAGACTAGGATTGGGTTACCTAACCAATGCAGACGTGGATGTCCTCTATTAGACCTTTAAGGCGACAAGCTAGAGCGAAGCTTTAAGAAGCCAGCTCTTTTTACTACTTTTTGGGGGGAGAGCATTACACCCTCTTGAGATAGTGCGGTGTCCTGGCTTGCTGTCGCCACCATCCATGACGAGGTTTTCCCTCTACATTACACAAACCTTGTAAATGAAGTAAAATTGCATGATAGAGTCATGTTTGTAGCGAAGTATTTTGGTGCAGACAGGAATTTTGTTTAGTGTATCATCCCAGTTACTCGGCGCTTACGAAGATGTTTAGTCGATGCTTAATAGTGAGTCTGGCACAATAACGTGCTATAGCCTATGGTTACATTATACCAAATATAAGCGACGGGGTGGTTCCCTCGTCTGTGGTGTTTTATAAAGAACGTTTAAAAAATAGAAGCTCCAATGAAACCCCTCAGATTGGTCTAATGCGCAAAAAATTACAATGCAACTATATTTAGCGTAATGTGGTTCGAATAAAAAAAACAGTTTGCCCCTGTGGCGAGAAATTATCTTTGAAACTAACAGGGGAAAGGGGGGGGGGTGGGTATAGCAGTACCATAATGTTGATCCAAAAGCATTACCCTTTTTAAACAGAACTGTGCACTTTCAATACGAGTGTGTTCACCTTTCTGAGAATTGCCAGTCTATTGTGCTGTTAGACCTGTTCGTGGGGGTCTGTACTTTTAAAGCACGGTAAATAAACATTGACTCTGAGGAATGAAAAAGAAAGAGAATGTTAAAAGAAAGAGAATGTAAGAAATGAGGAGAACAGTGTTATGCAGCGAGGGAAGAACATTTGCAATAATAGATATCTAAGGATGAAAGACTTGGTTCTCAAATGGGGTGTGTAGGAATATCGTGTTTACATCCATGCTGTTCTGTTTGGGGGTGGGGAGTGTTTTAATAATTGGTGTTCATAGGTGATAAATGGACGTGTGTGTGTGTGTGTGTGTGTGTGTGTGTGTGTGTGTGTGTGTGTGTGTGTGTGTTGTGATTTGTGATGTCAATGTGTGCTCCATAAATATTATTGTGTTATTTCCGTACGCGCCCACCACGAAACATGTTTTATAATTTGATACGCCGGTCAATGTCCTCTTCGTCATATAAAACCCGCCTTTTGAAATCACTGGAAATAACTTTTTTTTTTAAGGTCGAGTTACCGGTGTAAAAATTCTTTTTAAGCCAGTGTCAACAATACGATTGTATCAGTATTCACTCCAGGCAGAAGAGAGGGAGAGAGAGAGAGAGAGAGAGAGAGAGAGAGAGAGAGAGAGAGAGAGAGAGAGAGAGAGAGAGAGAGGGGGTTAGAAGTTGTGGGACACAGGGATA